GTACGAGAAAGTGTCGTACAGGATATAGATCTGCTCTTCGGAACAAAAAAGGGAAGTATGCACATACTCATCTTATTTACCTCATATGTTATCTTCTGGGCAAATGGATGAATTAACTATTACCATAAACCCCCCGGGAATATTCGCAGCTGGGCAGCATTTCGCTGCAAGGGACTTGGAGGCACCATAAGGTGGATGGTGCACTGGTATCGGTAGAATGCTTCATCTGTCACCGAGTCGACCTCTGCTACGCTTACGAAGCTGTGAATGTGAAGTTGTCATCTAAACAAAATTTTTCTGGTGCATATTAAGAAAATCGATAGTTTGAGTCACCTGGCCATGTATTAGCTGCTTATTCGTGAGGTGCAAGCCAAAATGTATGTGTGTACCGTTCAGTCCTACTTGTGAAATGCAATATTTCTCCAACATGTTACAAACTCCAAGCAGGGACCTTTTACGATGAGTATATCACGACCGTCATAGAACAACCGATTATTCTCTATATATTTTCCGAGTGACTTAAATCGATTCGACAGCACATTTGTCACTTGCATTGTGCTACACAATATCGTAAACTGTCCTTCCAGAACCAATACCACCCTCGATTTGGTATAGATAAACAAAGTAAAACCACTCTCCGTGTGTCATAGGGCGCCGCTTGGTAGTTCGGATCACTCAACCGTTCGACTTTGTCCTTTAGTCTACTATAAGACAAATCATGGGAAGGCTACCCATTGAAACGGGTGCAAGTTCTGGTGGAGGCAGTGTTCCGCACAGAATAATGACAGATTACGATAAGTAATGGCATCCACTGACTTATGTTGATTTGTTGACGTTAATGTATCACTGTACTGGTATAAGTTGACCAGCTACCCGAAATTCTGTTTCGAGATTTACGGTTCATACAAAACCGTTCATCTGTGTGGACAGGTTCTCCTCCCCCAACCTGAAGCAGCCAAGCAGCATAAAAGAAAAAGCTTACAAAATAGAGGCAACATTACAGTAGAATCACTCTCTGTCCTCATAAATTAGCAATTACGCGGTATCAACAACTTGTACATATAGGCGATACTTGGAAATACTAACTGTAGTGAACTCTGGAGGATATTGGAAAAATTCGTACGGTTACTTGACGTCCATCAACTTCTAACGTGGTGGTGAAAAAACCGGACCATAATTTCTGCAACTGCTACCTTAGTCTTCCGTTATCTAGCATAGTTTGTCGGAAGACTCGTTAACACTGGTTACGGAGAAAATGCGCATCATGTACTGAAGCAGCAACAATCAGGAAAACCAATAGTTCTTGACACACTATCATCTGTTGTCTTAAAGGAGTATTTCGAAATACTGCTGGCTCTCAGAGCTCGACCATGTCTCGATGATTGTTGCGATATCTCGATACTCTGGAGCCTAAATTTGAAGCCATCTAACTCAAGGACGTGTAAATGCCCGTTGGTGCACAGAAAAGATGGTTTCTCGGTAGCCAAGAGTGAGTTGGTCGATACTGCATCAAAATTGGAAGTTGTACTGGCGGATAAGTGGTGGGCGACTAACAGTTCATTTTTGCGAAACCGTCGGTCTTTGGGAATCTGTCGGGTTTCATGGTTGTCTGTGGATCTTTTGGCCCTGATAGTCGTTACAAAGTGACCTGACCGATCAGACGTTGTGGATGCCACTGGGTCATTTCTATTTCATAATTGTACAACGGAATGATGCACTGAGTTAGTTGACCCGAATGAACCGTCAGCCAATCATGGCCATGCACTTGCTGATTTTAACCGAACTTCTGTCGGTCTTATCTTGTGGTGCTTCGCCCAGTGTTTCAAGATGAGCGATGCATTATTTCAGACTGAAGTACCATTTTAAGCAGCCTGGGACCACACTACATGCAACTGGATGAAAGTGGTGTTCTTATTAACCGTTTACCATTGAGATTGTTGAGATAGAAGTTTTCTCAGATGTAGTATTTTTGAAGCATCGCCGAGCTTGGCAAACAAATAAACACCTGAATGTGCTGACTGCTTGGCCAAACCTCTTGACCAGATGGTTAAGCGGGTAGAGGTCCCAATGAACATCCCAATGATCACGGGTTCGATGCTTGCTATATCTGCCTGATGAAACAAATAAGCTTGAAACGCCCCATAGAGTGTAATATTTTCAGGGGGTAAAACCCAGCATCTATCCGCTGCAGTGATATCGTCCCTCAATACACAGAGGAGCACTGTATCAACACCTCGAAAGCACTTCCCGGAAATGCGCTTCCATGGCGAGATGGTGCACTTCTCCTCATCTGTGAAGTACCTTAGTGCCGCGCGCAGCATAAAATGAATGAAAAGTTCACAAAATCCAGGAGGCTATTGTTCTATGCTCGACGTCTATCACCTTCCTCTGTTCCCCATAATCTGATAATTCGTTTCTTGACTGCATGTGCTCTTCCACACTAAACGTTTCGCTCTCCAGTGATTCTCATAGTCCACTTGGTAGGCACTTCGGATTATTCTCCAAGTCACCACAATACTAGTCGCTTGTGCCAAAACTGATTGTTGTTCATTTACCTGTGCCAACTCATGTTAGTTTTTGAAACAGGCCAGTATAAGCGATATTCACTGACAGAGATCAACCCTTCATTACGCATTATCGAAGGTGTCCAACATGTCAAGCAGACAAAAGTATACATTCATACAGGCTTAAGCACGTGTTAACCGTTTGTCAGTTGTTTCTTATGTAGCACGATTTCTTTTAGACACTGACAGAGTAGACCGAGAATTTATCATCCATAGGAAGTAGAAGTCACGATGCAAATACACACACAATAATGTGCCCCGACGCGGAATCGAACCCCGGTCCAACGAATTTCCGGTCTGCTGCTCTACCGTTGAGCTCTCGACGGCTGACGATTAGGTGCGCAAGTTTTAATGCATGACTTCTGCTTGGTGCGTGACTTATGTCCAATGCGCTCACGGTATCTGCAGTCTGCAACACCAGGACAGAACTGTTACTCCAACAAGCGCTCGTGCAGCATGTATGTGACTTTTGCCGGGTCAACAAGCGAATACGAGAGATAAGACAAAACAGTATTGCGATACGACGACGTGCGGAAGAATAAAATTCTGAATTTGGATAGAGTAGATGAGGAAGAGAGGGTTTTGGTAAGGTCATTGTGAAGTGGATGAAATCGGTCAGTTAGTATATTAGAAGCAACATCATTGCAGGCATCAAGATGTCTAGAAATGATCGAATCGACTAAAGGATCTCCAGACAAGCCGCTGCATATGGATATGGGCTTTAGAAATCGAAGTAATAAGATGTAGCAATTTGAAGCAGTCCAGGGAAAATGACCAGCGAGCAGTATGGCCGATGGAGAATAACACAAGAGGTCACAAACCTGACTATTAAAGTACGAGGAACTGAAAACACCTTAAGTCTGATGGTATAAAAGGAAAGGTTTCTGACTTCTTGAAAAGTTTTACAGATATGCGCTTCCAGTATTAACTGACCTTGGCTCTGCAGCTATCTTAGTCTGCAAAAGTGGAAGACGCTGAAACCAGTAGCACAAACTTAGAAAGTGCAATTGCTATTGAGTAGATTACCAGTCGGCTGACGAACCTGGCCGGTACGTGCCCTATTTCATTTAAAATTAGTGGATCAAATGTAATCGCTCAGCTAGTTTCTATTAGGGATTTTATAAGTCTGAAGATAAATAACTGAAAGCAGTTGTTTACCTTTGGCCGTATGTTCTTGCTAATTAAACGAGAACTCCCGCGTTGTTGTAGTGTATTTTACGAGTAATAAACATCCATCATATGAAGACCTTAAATTTAGTCGGGATGCACCTGTTCATCTATATTTATTATTTAACAATGTACCAGACCTGAATACGTGTACGCAAAACTGACGGCGAAGCAGTAATGTGTAATCTGACGATCGGTTAACCACTTAAAGCTCATACCATTCTCGAGAAATTTGCTTATAGTAAGTTCTATCAACCAACTCCATATAATAAGAAAATGCAGAATACACGATTTTTAAGCACTACAAATTTATCGTGAATAACTGAGCAAACGAGCAGATAGAGTTATGCTTTCATCACAGACGTCGGATCATTTCGGTTATAAGGCGCACCAGATCGTTTGCACTGGCATTTGCAGCCTGTAACACTTGCTCGTGTGTTGTCACCGTCGATGAATGTATATCTGGATTGCATAGATCGGTGACCAACGATATGGCGAAGACCGTTATCCCACAGTGACGCGCGATGTGTACCTCAGGCACGGTGCTCATTCCTGAAGGACAAATGAGGACAACGACAGTTGAGTTAATGCAAATGTGTATCACAATGACAGAATCCATAGAGTTGGGACAGAACGAGAATATTTAAGTGGTGATGAAGCATTGAGGAGGACCTATGTAATACTCTACTTCGCAGCTAGGCTCTGGACATTCGCCTTGGCATTGCACACTTCTATGTGAGCTTACAAAGCCTATGGACACACACTGAAGTAGTTCACATAAACCATGTTGATTTTCGAGAAAACTCAGAATTCGCTAAGACATACCGACCACATCCGCCCCAGCAGTAATCATCAACCTGCACTCCGCGTCGGTTGCGTAGGTGGGACCTCCGATTTGGAAATACACACCCTCGTGGAGCCTATGAGATAGGCCACATTCTGATGCAGTTTGCTTCATAAGTTCTCGCAGTTTCGGGCAGTAGGCGTCCGACGTGGCTGGGAATCGTGGACCAAACCTATGGAATTCAATGGCTAAAATTTCTCTGTTTGAACTCACTTGTCCTCGTTAGGGCCTACCAGGACGTTGTTCAAAGATAGCCCGGCCAGACTGATGTGATCTTTGAGCATAACGAAATCACCGACCTTCAACTTTGCGCTCAAGCCACCGGCCGCATTACTAATGAGCAAGGTCGACACTTCAAGCAACTTCAGCACACGCAACGGCAGTGCAATCTGGGAGAAAATGTTAGCATATTGATGAATTCATACTTCTCGGGCACTATATCCCTCGTACTGATGAAAACGCCCTTGCATAACTACAACCGGCTTGCCGCAAATGTTTCCAAACACCAGATTCCCAGTATGACCGACCACTTGATACCATAGCGTAAAGAAAGAAATCTAGACTCACCAGTGACCTGTGGGAATCCTGGAATGGAGCTGTACGCAAGCACCACCTTCTCTGTCACCACATCTGCCAATTTACCCAAACCACTTCCACAAATGATGCCGATTTGTGGCTTCAGATTAACCACTCCCCGTATGTGCGCAGCGATTCTTTCTGCGTCTTCAAAGGTAGCGCAGGCCCTGCAAGGTTCGGAGTAGAAAGGTGAGCACGCTTTAGAATAGCAAACTTACATAGTTCCACAAGGAGTAAGTTAAAAATCCGGACGATTGTGGAGGTGATACTATGACTTTCCTTAGTGGGGTTTTCGGGGTAGTAAGAGAAATAGTGGTGAAATCTATCCTGCGGCTACACGTGGTCCGCTCACACAAATCGCTGGTTTGTTGCGCAGTGTGCACCCCTATTTATCCAGGCGAAACGATCACGCCTATCGTGTTTGAAGAAGGGATCAATAGTTGCACACGTGAATTGTGAATGACGCAAGTTCTAAACCTTGGTTTACAAGGTCCAATGTGAAATCATTGATTGCCGCTTTGTACTCCTAATCAGATATGGTAGCACTTTAAAGGTGTTGTATTTAGCTAGCCGCTCTTTTCTTCACAGATTCATTGCAGCGCAATTTATCTGAAAGCTTTACGCAAGCGCGGTGCGGTGTTACAGATAGCAAAGCCAGTCTCAACAAAGCGATCGATTCACATGGCGAGCCGAACATACTCGGCCTCTGTGCCTATTGCGTGTCAGTTTTTACAATTTTCGAGACTCCACACGGATGGTAAACTGCGACATTGTTTAAACACAACCATGACGTAACTGTAGAACAGTTAACTGGAATGACAGGTGCAGTCGAATAGACTGAATGTCTGCTTTGCATGTTCAAGCCTTCTGATAGGCCACATTTTGACGCGTGCCTTAACTGTGCTACCTATAGGACTGATAGGAGTAATAAGTGCTGAGAACACCAGAAATTACGAGAGGCAGCTCAGGTGAAAAACATGTTTGAATGATGCACAATGGCTTACGGAAGATACAATGCTTGAAATGATGGTACACTATCACATGGGGTGCTTATTTATGGCAGAAATAATATTTTAAATTAACGACCACGGTGTCATCCGAGTTGATATTATGGCGTCTGTTAGTCATACCATCATCATCATTATAAACATCAGCTTGAGGTGAGAAACACATCAGCTACTGTGCCGCAGTAGTCATACCAACCATAAAACCTACGTTATTACTCTAGAGTGGAAATAATTTTAAGAGCCACCCCGGTACATCCGTCAGTTGATATCACGCCTGTGATGTCGTTCCTATCTGGGACATCCACAAAGTGGTAGGCTTGGGGCTCGCCATGAATGATGAGATCGACCATCGGTTTTCGTTTATTTGCCGATACGCCTGTTTCGCGGAAAATAACTGAACTTACCCCTTTCTAGCAGCGTCAGTAGCAGACGTCCCCGCTAGTAAACTATGTCTTGGCACATTCGTCTCCCTTTCAATGTGCGAAAAGGTGTTTGGATAATTCCTTCTTTCCTGTCGGTCTAAGTGTGTTTGTCATCACTTACATCGCAGTGGCTCAGTTCATCGTCCCTAAATTGGCTGAGTCGCTAACTTAACACAGAAAGAACGAGAAAACTAATTGAAGTGATGTTATAATGCCATGTGTAGGAAATGAAGTAACGGCAATCAGCGTGCAATCGGGAGATGTTAGATGAAGTTTCAACAACAGTGATAATTCGCTTCGAGGTAAAACTTCCGCACATTCCGAGACTATATATAATCTTACTTTCTTTGATTAAGGATGACAGATACCCGATAGGTTTAGCTGCCATTCTATCTCATGAGCGTCGTAGCCTTGTGATTTTACAATTACTTATCACCTTTTCGTCATATGCAATTGTTCCTAAATGTACAGCCGTGTAGTTTGATTTTAAGAATGTCTATGGCGCTACTCCTATGTCTGGCGTTGTACATGTAGTGCAGTGTAAATACGCTGTACCATACCGATTGGTGACAGACTGTATGGTGTTTCCAGTTTCGCTTTTGTTCCGAAGTGATGGATTGGGTTTGAATACGCATGAGTCAATTGTTGCCAACATGCATAGGCACACCCCGCCAAATCACTGGCTGCTGCCTGAAGAGCCTTAGTTCAAATATTATGGAGTCCAGGGGAACTGTAGCCACACAGTGATAACAACTTCTTCAACGCAGCTTCCGCATTGAAGGTGATATTGGATAACACTGATGATGGGACAGTAGAAACAGGGAGAGTCATTAGGCTAGTTGTCCTCTGGAATGAATGTGAGTAATCGAACCGTAAGAGATATGCAGTGTCCATTGCTGATCGCATGTACCCGTCAGACGCAACTGCTGCTGAGTTTCCACTCTGCATCACACGAAGGCCATTAACATGGTTGAATAAGTTTGCTGAGACTGATGTTCTATTCATGATGCTTCTTCATCGCAGTGGGGCTAAACCAAAGTAGACTTAAATTAGGTATTTTTAAGCTGGATCCAATTCACTCCATTTTATTTAGTTTGTTCTGCCTACCAGAATAATCCACTAGCTTGCATACGTTGCTGACACTAATTGTGGTTAGCTTCATTAACTTTTTCGCGTTTTTGGCATTTCTATGAATAAGTTGCGAACATTTTGTACTTAACGCAAATGCGTTGCTAACCAACTTAATTCATATGCTAATTTAGCGAAGTTATGTCGGCATAGCCGTAAGCTTTAGCATATATATATTATTGGATAATTATATTTCAACTTGTTGGCTGTTGTTTGATATCCCCGGTGTGGCTGCGCTTGATATGCATGTTGATAAGGTGCCTACCTGTCTATTACCCACTACCTCGTTCATACTGTCTCCAGGAGACAGTTTGTCGATGCTGGAGGGGACAGGGTGCACAGTTCTTTTGGCCGTGTTTTGATCAATGAGCGGTTCCATGCACTCATTGTGCAGCGGACTACGTTCCAGCCACCGCCTTGAGTGCGCTTGCTTCCCCAAATACAGCGTGCTTGTGTTTTCCTGTGAAGGAGTGTGGGCCGGCTCCGTTGATGAAACGTGGCTCCCATCCACCTGCCTCTCGGTCTTATTCCTTCGGGTTTACATTGCATATGGGGTGTGTGGATGGAACTGTGGGTGATGTAGCGATAGACATCCATGGTCCCTCTGAAGGCGCAGGCGTCCTGTGGCTTGCCACAGTGACAGGCAAATCCGAAACCGGATGCCGCCAACCATTGGAGTTTGCTGTTCATGCACAATCGCTTCATTAGCTTATACTGATAGGTAGCGGAGCATTTTCACACAAAATTCCACTGTGCCAGGTATGCAATCTATGTTTCAACGGTAGGAGATTCCCTGTGAGCTCTGCACGTCAAGTCACTCAAGGACGTGCATTTACGTATCCTGTTTCTCAGAAATGACTTGCTTTTACTTTGGTGATGGAGGAATTGCTGTTCAGATGCATGCGATACCAGTTTGCTAAACGTTGTTGCGAAGGTTTCCCAGGTATCTCCTGAGGGGTGTCCACTTAATAACGTCCAAGATACCTACTTAACAAGCGCGAGAAACGTGCTGTAGTGCATGACAGTGTACAATCTGCGCTCCTCTTCTTCAGGATATTCCGCATAGCATATATTGTCAAACGATAGACGTAACATCCTGTAGAGTTTCTCGGTTCATCTTTCATTTCCGATCGTCATAGCAAAAATTAATATCTCATCATACACTTAGGCAATCGGCGCTGAGTGTCGAAGTGTGTGCTGAGTTCGTTTGTGTAAATCGACCGCCCAGTTTTGCTGGGTGCCTCCGCTACACTCCATCGTGCAACTGCGGTGGGTGCTACATCACCCAGTTTCGTCCAGCTGGCAAAAGCGTCGGTTTTGCCTTGCGCCTGGGATGCAGGAAGCCTACGATTGTAAAAGCAAATGCTTGTCCCTGCATCCACATATCATTCGGGACAGTAATTTCCACTCCCGCAGACATGATGATTTGCATAATGCAAGCGCCAAGTCAGAAAACAGTGCCCCAAGAGTGAAACAGTTTCACCATCTGTCGTGTTCAAATAGCTTGCTTTGTTTCGTCCTCGATTCGTTTATCCTACTCACACTCCTATTTAGCACTCGTTGGCCTATCATGTGATCTTGCAATAGATTGGTTGCAATGTGAACCTCTATCGATTTAATTGTACCTGGCGTGTGTGCGGACAGTTTCCTCCATACATATGTTCCGGTGCTACTCCGGTCTGCTGATTTGTTAAGGATAGAACAAATTGGCGTCGCGTGTTACCGATGTCTTTGCATGCTAGCTTCACTGTTCTGGACTGACTCTGCGGTTACCTCAAATGCAGAATGTTGGGAAGAATGGAAAATTAGTTTTTCAGCATATATTTCTGTGCTACCAGATCTCCATCCATCCGTGACACTGAAAACAAAGGATCCTGTAATGCTTTTGCGCTGATACATCGGCTCAAAGTGTCGACATAAATTTGATGCTATAAACTTGCGGGAGAAACTCACATTGACAGAGGCCATATCGGCCCCCGATAAAAATTGGAGTGTTTGAGGAAACCTCTACAGTTCATGGGCTTTCGATCAAGCGGACAGTAGCTGATTCAAATAGAAATTAGGTATCGCCCGCCCGAAAACACTGCCCTACTGTGACGCGTTTCGATGTTATTACATCTCATCAGATAGAGTTAGCAGGCATCGAACCCGGGACCATAGGGATGTTAGTCGTGACCGCTACTCCTAAGCCACCGGGTCACGGGCAACGCTTGACACAACGGTATAATGAACGAGGTTGAGGGTCATTTTGAAGTACATGTTGTGTGGATGAATTGCGACACGCAATCGCAATGTTGACCGCGATTCCCATTGAAGTGAACCTTGGGCTTTCGCTCACAAGGACCGTCGCTGATCCTAATAGAAATTGGTCTCGTTTTCGATGCCTGTTAACTCTATCTGATGAGACGTAATAACTTCGAAACGCGTCATATTAATGTAGTATTTTCGGCGGGCAACACCCAATTTCCATCAGCTACGGTCCTCGTGATCGAAAGCCCAATGTTCACTTCAACTGAAATCGCGGACAACGTTGCGATTGCGTGTCGCAATCCATCCACATAACGCGTACTTCAAAATGACCCTCCATCTCGTTCATTATACCGTTGTGCCAAGCGTTGCCCGTGACCCGGTGGCTTAGGAGTAACGGTCACAACTAACTACCCTATGGTCCCGGGTTCAATGCCTGCTAACTCTATCTGATGAGATGTAATAACATTGAAAAGCGTCATAGTAGTGCAGTGTTTTCGGGTGGGCAACACCCAATCCCTGTAATTCTTGGTACAATCTTTCGCAGCTGAAGCAAGCACCTGGTGAATCAGTGGATCCATTCATTTCCCTTCTTGTTTGTTTTGTTCGAAATTGTGACTCCAATGGTGTTCCCAAGAAGAAAGTGAAAGAAAACATGCTAACACAACAATTGATTTCTGGTCTCACGGATTCCCTGATCAGGGAGAGTCTCTTGCTTTAGAACGCAGAAAATCTCACATGCGACAGGACTGGTGACGTGGCTCGTGCGAAGACCGCAATCACGGAACAAAGCAAAATTTCTATCTCTAACACAGGAGCCTCTGAAATTGACCGTTTGGATTCCACACGCTCTCTGACATCATCCTCAGTTAGAAGTAATTGTTACTGTTATGGAAATGCTGAACATCATTCAAATGATAAGCGATGTCCTGCAAAGAGTGAAATCTGTCGGAATAGAGTTAAG